TTTGGTTTATTAAATTAATTTAAACGCATTCTCTATCGTAACTTTTAAACACATGGCATTCGCGGAAATCAGGTTTATAAGTAGAATATTGTTGAAAGTAATTACGAAATTAACATATGCTTGACGGCTAATCTTGACTGTACCGGTTTGTGCAATTGTGATGGAAATTGCAACTAAAAGAACATTTATTCAGCTGGTGTTTTTAAAAGCAGGCATAGGAACGTTGTAGCCAATAAAAGCTGTTTTTCAAAACGTTTCCTTCAGACCAAAAAGTCCAGCAAGTGTTTATTGTAACATAACTGATCTATTCCGGCATGTTTGAAAGTTTCAAATGCGAAATAGAAGGTGTCTCAATCACAGTAAGCAAGTAACTCAAGAAAATCATGTCAGTGAAACCTATATAAATTGACTCTGCATCTCGGCCTCGATTTGATGCATAGTTCTGATATTACGTTTTTGACACATCCCAAACGTTCATTTAAGGTCTGAATTTCCTAGTCTAGAGAATAGAATCTACATTGCAAATGATAAAAATGTTAATGATTTCATCATCAGTGCCTATTGCTTTGCTGGTAATTAAAAATAATAGTCACGTGACTATCACGTGACGTAATTTGAGACTCAAAGGCACTGGTTAATTTGTTGTTGTATTAAAAAAAGCAATACACTAGGCATAGTAGTCCCAGAAGGCCAAAAAAAAAAAAAATCGGTATTTTGCATCAGCCTCATTTCCATGTAAGGGCTTTGCATGCCGTATTTTTGACATGCGCATTCCATGGTTCTTGAAGCAAAGTTGGCATGGCTCCATATCAGGATATATTTGTCTTATAGCGGTTAGTAACCCTGCCAAGTTTGATGCTTCTATGAAAAAACGAACAATTTTGTCCCTTAACAGCTGGACTATTTGAAACTGTAGCTTCCATTGACAACTATCCATTTTAGTGGCAAAGTTCCACTTTTGTAGCAGAATTTAAGTCAAGTCTGAAAATTTCTGAGGGGGCTCGAGCCTCCCCTGCCCCTCCCCCTGCTACGGGCATGAAATATCAAATATCAAATATCACATATCAAATGTCAAATGTCAAATGTCAAATGTCAAATGTCAAATGTCAAATGTCAAATGTCAAATGTCAAATATCAAATACCAAATATCAAAGGCACTGCCTTTGGTTGCACGTTGTGGACCTTAAAATTAAATCAGCTGATGGCAGCTATAAATAAATTTGATTGAAGACACTGCACAAAGTTCAGTCAAAATGTTTTTTTTTTCTCTGCAGTAGTTAGATGCAACACTAAAGTAATAACAGAAGTTAGTATCACTCAACTGGTGGACTAATGCAAATCCTGCGTTTTAATTGGCTATGCTAGAGGACTATTAGTAATAGTCCTCGAGTAGCAAAATTGGCGCAATCGAGCGTGACGCTTTCTTTCGTTTTATTCCCAAATAAATATTTCCTTAACTTGCATTTGCTAACTTTATTATATGTGCCTTTTCTGTTTGACTAGTTAGGTGATACTAAAATAATTAGACCCTTCCCCCTAAAGGGCCATGGGTCAATAGCCCATTCGGCGTCACCTCATGGGCTGTTGACCCGTAGCCCTTGTGGGCTACCGGTCTAATTGTTAAATAGTCTTGAGACGGCCACACTTATAATCATCAACTCCAGTTTCCCATTGTTTTCTGAGATGGAAACCTTTAACCAGGTGATTGGTGCCCTATACTATGAGATGATTGACACCTGCTTATCAAATAAACTTACTTGACAGAAGCCATAGTTATCATCAGCTGTTGGGTTTGCTGTGTTGGGGAAAAACGCTTCTCCTACCAATGTGAAGTTAAACTCAGAACCATTGCCTAGGAAAGCAAACCAATCCTGCCAAAAAAAAAAAAAAAAAAAAACACAAGAAAAACGAATTAAAAAAGGCAAAGTTGTCACCACAAAATTTATGTACCAANAAAACACTAGGGAACATTAAGTACTTGTCAACAAAGACATTGTAAATTCCAAACAGGAAACAGTCAAGGAACAAAGCCAACTAGTACTGTTGACACAAAATTTACAAGTTTGTAAGATCATAAACACAAGGATAGAAATAAAAAACTAAGAAAATGTCAAATCTTTTAAACACATTGTGTTCATTCTGGCTGCAGAATTAATATTTAGAAGAAGAGTATGTTGTGATACAGTAGTGATATCGACTATGATGGCCGTTCATCGCCAAACTTTTAGTCCCCATTAAATCTTATTTGACTCTTGAAGCTTCAAAATATCCAAATTATACAACTGCAAATTTCACCTACCACAACTGTGTCTTGATGCTTTCCGTCAAATGGCAAAAATTCCCTGATGCAAACTTTAAAACTTCCAGAATTCACATTCTCCAACAAAACATACATTGCATCATCAGGCTTTGTACTACGAGCGTACTTAGCTGAGACAAACACAGAAGGTCTTCCACCAAAGCTCTGTAAATTACACAAACTTATATTACATTTTATTACTACCATAAAGAGTCTTCTTTGGCTTAGTAGTCATTGTGCCTAGTATGTAACTTAAGAAGAATAGACCCAAAATTATGAAGCAATAAATTTAATAAACTGTTAGCAAAGAAGGAACTGAATAGGAGCATTTTAATTACTCATGAATTATTTTTAGCATGCTGTGAGGAAATTAATTTTAGCAAAAAACAAAAAATGGCAGTGAAGCATACAACAATCTGGCTTTCTAATCACTATACTTAACCATACTTGCAAAACTAATGCTACAATTAACTTTTCCACTCGTTTTGTAAGCCACAACATCAAGATGCAGGATATACTTTTTGGGCTCTGTAACAAAATTTCCTTTTAGATCTGCTTATCAAAACAGGCCACTAATGCTGGCATACATGTACATTCATGTACGGTTTTCTCCTTTCTTAATTCCAACACCAGCTCTAACATATTGTATAACCTGTAGGAATGTAACTTTGTCACATTTGCTTTCTGCTGTCCACATTCCTTGAAAAGTCATACTGCCATGCATCAGTTTTGGATGATTTTGAAAGGCCAGCCAGTTGATAATTCCAGTTTTATTTGATCCAGTCCCTGTTTGACGTGAACAGACCTCAAATCCACGTGTACTAACAGACTGAACCCACAAAGCAGATGGGGAGTGAACACGTGAAAACTCTTCACCATGGCTCAATGACATGTGAACTTGAACCTAAAGGACATAAAATGCAAATATAAATAGCTAGCAGACATTTTATTGAAATAATAAAATACCAGTTCAAGCTAAATTTGAAGGCTGCTGTTTTTAATACTGCAAAAACTTGGATGACTGTCAGCCATTCTGTGCAGGGGCACTTACCTTTGTGGATCCACTGAACGCTTGAGGAAAAGCAATGTTTGTGCAAATAGGCAATCGACAATTTTGTGGAGGTGAACATCCACTGCTACAGCTCCAACCTTGAAAAGTCTGCGACATGTTGAGCTTGCCAGTTTGCAACAGAGAAATTCCTGAACAAAAAAAGGATGCATGGACTTTTATTGACTTAAAGGTACTAACGACAGAACACACAGTAAACATATATACACCTACATTTTTAAAACTCAAGGTCTAACAGGTTTTGACATTAATCAAAAAATAATAATATCGGGTTTTGACTGAGTACGAATTAAGGTTGTCAAGGTCTTTGTGTGCACGTTTATGAACCAAGAGGTCCATAAACACACAAAAAATAAAAAAATAATCAAGGCCAATTAATACAGCCATCTTTACTGAACAAACTTGGTCAATTAAGGATTTCTTGCACACTGTATGTCATACAGGACACCATATTCTTGCTGGATAAAGCCAGCAATCCAACATCAATAACACCGTCTTGCCCACTTGGTTAGCCAGTCACAGAACAGGATTTGGTGCTCATCTTACCCACTTATAGACCTAGCAATTTACTATTAATAATAATATGAAGGATACACATGAGTGATCTGTGGCGCTAAAAATATGATGCATATGTATGTAATCCAAATCAATTATTTCAAATAGAAAATCTGCGTTGTTCAGTCTTGTCCCTGCAGACTAACTATAAACAAGCATTATAACATATATATACTGGCCTCACTATAGGAGATAAAACAGCTAAACAGACAAAAATAAACCACTAGAAAAAACAAGCATTCGCTTTTTTCTTCTAATTCACAAATTATCCACAGGTAGAAAAAGAAAACAGTTTTCCTGTAAATGAGAGGGTATATTGTTGTTGAGACTGCTGCAAACACTATATTGTCTTGATAAAGAAAATAATTGCCTTTGAGTGTCAGAACCAGCATATTTATCAAAAGCAGCACAGTAAAAAGAAAACTTGCACACATATTGAACAATCATCGAAGAAAAACGATGTTTGCCCATCAGCTTGCTTTTGAAGTACATGTAACTTATTGAGCAAAATTGGACACTTTGAAACTTTAAATTTGATGAAGAAAGTGCTAACTGAAGTAGCTATGATGTGTATAAAACTAATAATAATATTTGTAGTAGATTGTAGACAAAGCACATCCTAAAATGATACCTGCCAAATTATCACATAGTGTAGTTTCAGGAAATATCCATACCTCCAGCTCAGAGAAGGGATTTCTTTTAAGGACTCCCTTCCCC